GCCCATTGCTACTTCAGCTATATACTCTGTTGGGTTATGTAGGTCACTCTCGTTCTACTGCATATATCCTCATTTTTAAGCATGCATAGAAACCCCTAGCATAGCCCTCTCCATAGCTCGCTAAGTGGCCTTGAGTGTCCTCATACAGCCAGCAGTGAAGGACCACAACTCAGTTCCATAGCAACATCACTGCACATGTTGTTCTGTAAATATGCACTAAATCCTTCATATAAAAAACATTTTATCTTTACTGCCATAGATTATACTTAAACATTGTATGATGTTAAATTACAATTAATTATCCTCTATTTTTAGACGTAAATTCAAGAAAGGTCAGGAGGAAGAGCAAGCTAAGAAGCGCACTAGGAGGACACAAAAGTTCCAGCGTGCCATTGTAGGCGCCTCCCTCAGTGACATCATGGCTAAGCGTAATATGAAGCCTGAAGTTAGAAAAGCTCAAAGAGAACAAGCAATTAAGTATGTAAATTCAATTTTTAATAACCATTTGCATAATCTTTAAAAAAAGTATGCCAGTTCATCTAATAAAGTATGATTGTACTTAATATTTTTATAATATATGTTACAAAATCAGTTATGATGGGAAGTGACTACTGCAGCCCATTGATACTTGCAACTAACTTCAAACAATACAGCTTACTTTTAAGTTACCATCCCTTAGGGCTAATATGTAATACCTCTGTGTCTGTTATTTTACCCATGAAATTAGAACAACAGTGGGTGCACAGCTGTTCAGCAACATACTAGCTGATAGTATGAACCCAGACCTACTTCTAGATAGAAAGTCACTATATCATCTTCTTATCCTGCTCATTATTCTGCCACCTATACCTATAAAACTAGAAGACTGCAGTGGATTCACTTTTGTTTAGTAACAGAAGTTTATCTAGTCGGAAGAGCTCGACACTACTGGTGTGAGGCTATCACTCAAAAACCATTCCAGTCTATGGCCTCTTCAGTAGTAAACTGATAACTTGTCAAATGACAGAATTAAATTGAAGGCTTAAAGTATACATATGGATTAAGAGACATTTAAACATTTTTTTGTTTTTGGTTTTGTTTAACATTTAAAATATCTTACAGAGCTGCAAAAGAACAGAAAAAATCCACAAAAGCAGCTAAGAAGGTCACTGCCGCTCCACCAAAAGCAAAGGCTGCGCCTAAAGCTAAAGCTGCCAAAGTGAGTCAAAAATCAGCACCACGTGTTGGAGGCAAGCGATAAGACCATTTGTAACAAATAAAAAAAATAACTAAGCATTGTGTTTTATTTCGTTTTATATTCTAAGAACAAATAGTTATGATTTATGAAGGTATTTATTAACTGCGAGTTTCCTATGCCGAATAATATGCCCATATATTTTGGCCTAAAAACTATTAGAAATTTTGCACTAATCAAACTTGAGCTCCGGCTGGGATACCTAACCGCTTTTTTAGCCTTTCCAACGGGCCGGTTTCCCATAAGCCTTAAGTACCGTAGACCACATCATACATACCCCTCGGCAAAATGAACATAAGACCGAAGAGTATAATATACCACTACAAAAACCTTTTACTATGAGAAAGCCTTTGATTCCGTTGGAATATGGGCTTTGCTACAGTCTCTTCAGCGATACCTAGTTGACTGTCAGTATATCCGAAGTACTGAAGAATTTGTAAATAAGACTACGATGGCCATTCGAGTACAGAATTAAAGTACGAAACCCATCCCATCTGCAGAGAGGTGTAAGACAGGGTGAAGTCATTATCACGAAACTTTTCACCGCTGCATTGGAAGACGTTTTCAAGCTACTGGACTGAAAAGGATACGGTATTAACATCAACTGCGAAATAAAATTATTATTTTTGCTCTTTTAACACGTTCATCGCGGAAGCCCAGCTATGCATCTAGTTAATATGACGCAACGAGATCTAAAAGTTCTCGTTGTGATCCACAAGGAATGACGCAACGAGATCCAATAAGTCGCGTACCACTTGGTCACTTTAAACCTCAATATTTCTATGAAATTTGTATAAACCTACATTTTTTTTGTATGTGCAGGTAGGGGATGAACAGACCTTTCAGTAAGTTATCACCGCCTCAAGTTATCTAAAAAAAAAAAACCGGAAAATTTTCAAAATAAAAAACGAGAACTTTTGGATCTCGTTCCGCACTAGATAGCAAAAAAATGCGAGTACTCTTAGATCTCCTTTCGCCGATATTGTATAGTATCGATGAAAAAATAGTGATGGGAAACAATAAGAAAAACAACATTATCGATACTGAATCATTTATTATAATAAAACAGTAGGTAAGGCATTAGAAACTGACTAACTGCTTAGAACAAAAAATGTCAATGTTTTTCATTAAAACACGGAAGACGGAACACCTTTAACCTGTTTTGTCTTTTTATCCGCTTCTTTGCTAGTCATTGTTCGTCGTGCCTTTTCGTAGCAACTCACACAACGTCTCTTCTTGGTATTCACTATATATTTGTGTTCAACGATCACTTCCGGATTATCTTTTTCCAGGTAAAAAGGAACTCCTGTGCATTTCGTTATGATCCTTTCAATAAATTTTTTCTTTACTATCTTATTTTTTTATGCGTTTTACATGCTTCGTACACACGGGATGAATTTGAAAACATTATTTTGTATGACAACAAAAAACTTCATAGAATGCTGAATGAAATAGACTGGTCACCGGTTAATAATATGCAATGTTCTACTAATATAATAAATTTTATAAAAACTAATTTTATGAAATGCTACAGTGAATGTCAATTAATAAAAAAAACAAAAGAAGGTAGTAAACGAAATAAAGAGAATTGGATAAACGAAGACATCATAAATATGTGTAAAATTAGAGATAATTTGTTGACTAAATGGAAAAATGACTCAAATAATAAACTTCTAAGACTAGAATATAATAAATATAGAAATAAAACAATTAAATTTATTGAAAAAACTAGAAATAATTACTATTATCAAAAAATCAATAACAATATGTCTAATCCAAGATATACTTGGAAAATTGTAAACAAACTTTGTGGAAAAGTTACCGAAACACTAGATGAATCGTTAAATAAAGCATTTAACTTCAAAAGTCAAAATAGTAAAATGATTGCTGATAATTTTGCTACTGAGTTCGATAGAAACTTAAAAAATATAATACCAAAATGTACCATTAAAATGCTATCAGATGATTTGTACACAAATCCAGTAGATAAGTCCATACGCTTTCAAAAAAGCTAACACAAATCAAATAAAAAATATAATAAAAACACTTAACACAAAAAAAGGCACCAGGTGCTGATGGAATTCGTACAATTGACATAAAAGCCATATCAGAAAAAATTGCTAAAGTAATTGTCAAGTTAATTAATAGTAGTATAGAAACAGGTATTTATCCTACAGATCTAAAGCTAGGTTTGGTACGGCCTATTTACAAAAGTGGACGTCATGACGATTACAGTAATTACAGGCCTATTACTATACTTCCAACAATTGACAAAATTATAGAAAAATTCATTTCCAACCAGCTTCACAACTCTTACCAAAAACATAAAATTATTTCGGCATCTCAATACGGATTTCAGCCTAAGAAATCTACTACACAGTTACTGTCAAACTTTACAGACGAAGTAAACAAATGTTTAGATGAGAAAAAACATGTATTAATTGCATTCATCGATTTCAGTAAAGCCTTCGATACCTTGAAACATAACATTCTTATAAAAAAACTCGAAAACTCTAGTGTTAGAGGACGTTTCTTAAGATGGTGTAAAGATTATGTTAGCAATCGATATTTCCAAGTAAAGATAGAAAATAATTTAAGTATTAAAATGCCTATGACTACTGGTACGGCACAAGGCTCAGTTATAGGGCCACTCCATTACTTAACATACGTAAATGAATTAGAAAATATCATTAAAAAATGTAGTTTATACCAATATGCAGATGATACGTGCCTTCTGTCAGAAGATAAAAATCAGGATATCGCCATGCAAAAATTACAAGATGATTTTTCACGCCTCTCTATGTGGGCTCACGATCTAGGACTTGAAATAAATATACAAAAAACTAAGGTACTACACATACATTCTAGTCATATCAAGAATATTATGCCAGTAAGCATTATTGCTCATAATCATCTTTGTCTGCACAATATAATAACTTGTTCCTGCGAAAAAATCCCACTTGTTAAGTATCACACATACTTAGGACTGATTATAGATAATAGGATGAACTGGAAGAATCATATTGACTACGTGTGTAGTAAATTAAGGACAATCCTAGCGAAATTTTATATTATTCGTAATAAAGTTCCATTTAAAATTCTTCTAAGCCTATATAATGCTCTAGTGGAATCGATAGTATCGTATGGTCTTAGTAGTTATGGACGAACTTTCCGCACTTACCTAGATAAAATTTACAGCTTACAAATAAGAATTTTAAAATCTATATTGCCTCAACACATTAAGGACAAATATCGAAATGATTACTCATACCTTTTCACGTACTGCAAAGTTTTACCCATACATAAAAAGGTGAAATATATGATTTTAAAAGAATGTTATGAATACTCGATGTACCCAACCCCAAGGGAACGCATTTATAGCACTAGAAATAAAACACCTTATTCACCAATTAGAACTAATAATTACTACGTTAAGAGAACACGTAAATTTCTAATACCATACATATTAAATTCTTTACCTACGGAGATAAGAAGCCAGCTAACCGCACAAAACTTGAAAACAAAACTTAAACATTTTTTCGCATAATATAATAGATACTTTTTTTGAATTCTTATTCAAAAAAGTATCTATATATATTATTCCAATGAGAATCATAACGAGCTATATCTATCTATGCCAATAATTGTTAAATTTTGTATGTAATCAATTCCGTATTTGCCATCATTATAAAAAAATATGCATTCTGGCTTCCTTATATGTGCCTCCCTCCCTCGCCTAGATCTTGTTTTAGTTATAACTTTTGCATCATGATTTTTGCGTGAAGTAATCATTAAGACCGCTCTTTTGTCCACCCACTTTATAACTTTTGCACCGGTTCTTCTCATCTTTCCAATTACTTCGCCCTTTTATCTTTTTTGCAACAACAGACTTTGGTAAACCCCTTCTGTTTGCTCTGAGAGCAAGTTCTACGCTGTTGTAAAAGTTGTCTGTTATAACAATCCTACCGTTTTTGTCTAAATTTTGTATTAACTTCAAAACGGTCTTCATTCCATGAGTCTTTTCCCGTCCATCCTGTCCTTTTCCTATCATGGATGGATATACTTGTAATATACACTATCATGTTACAAGTATTTCCATCGACAGTACACAGTTTGTAAAGCTTCACTCCATATTTATGTGATTTATTTTTTTATATTGCCGGAATTGTAGTCTTCCGCGTCATGGCACCATGATCTCATCAATCACTAGGATTTTACCTGGGACAATAACTTTCTTGAAATTAGCAAGAAACATTTCGTACACATCATGTATTTTATTTAGTTTATCGGTTGTCCTGTCAATAGTGTCATCACTAAAATGCCAAAATCTTAAAATTGCGGTGAATCGATCTCTACTAATAACTTTTATGATATATTCGTTTCGATACATAATATTTTTTGACCAGTAGTCATTAACGTGTGGAACTTTATTCAAACCCATAACTAGGGCAACACCTAAAAACTTCAGCATCTCTTCTCGGTTAATTGGCTTCCAAGAGCGGAACCGAGATTTTCTCTTCGAGTCTGGATTAGTAAGAAATTTTTCCGCGTACAAATTAGTCTCAAGAACCATCTTGTCAACTATCTCATCTGTTAGAAACAGTCTAAATAATTCATCTGGTATCTTAACATTTTCAGGTACATTGTATTGACATTCGTGCGGGTATTCTTCAAATTCCGGAGTCGTATCTTCTATGTCGACCCATTCATCTCCATCAGCGTCTTCTGCAACATTTTCTTGTTGTCTTGTAATATTTTGAGGTGTTCCGTTGTTCAACTGATTGTTACTATCTCCATCACATTCATCTTCGGTTGTTATAACAGTAATATCAGATTCACTTTCCGAAGAAGTGCTAGGAGCATAACTGCTGTCATCATCTGTATCAATGACTCTATCATTTTCTTGGGTGCTATTAATACTGGTACTAGTAATTGTCTCGTTACCTTTAATAACAACGTTAGAAGTGGATGCACACTGCTTTTAATGCTTTATCTATGTCAAGAGGTAATTGACTGGGACCCGGCGCAGATAAATCTGATTGTGGTTCTTCTGGTGTCTTCTCAAAATTTAATTGTGAACTTAGTTTTTCTTTACTAGTACGATTATTTCTTTTTGGTGTATTAAGTAGATCAGATATCTTTTGCTCATCGAAAGACTCATCAAGGGTAAGCATATTTGACACCGAAATATTGCTGAGAGAACCATAAGTAGAGTTACCCCCAGACAATGGCACTAATGGCAAAGTATCATTATTGCCCATTGCAGTATCTGTAAAAACAGGCGCATATTTGGGTGCTAGAATTATTATCTCCTCTGTTATTTTTATCTTTTTAGTTTGTAAATCCATGCAGTCCGTATCTGGTGTGCTAGGCGGTACAAACTGCGAAGACCCTTGTTTGCTGGTACTTGGCAAGTTAGATGTATGTAAGTTAGATTTACCCACATTTTGATCCGTGCTGCACGATGTATCACGTTGGACGCGTGGTGATGGTGACACATTAGTAAGTTCTTGGTAAGAATGTCCAGTATTGGGGCTAACACAAATATTTTCACTACGCACTCCAAGAACACGTTTGAACACTTTCCGGAACAGAGATGAGGATTTGGAAGATCGATTACTTTCACTCACCATGTTAGGTTCTTCGGAAAAACTAAAGCAAAGTTCCAAAGTTTTTCGACTGCGTTTGCGATTCGTCATAATATTATCCATCCTGATTACAACGTAATTGATGTGCACTTATCGGAAGTTTACTCGGCACTATTTATTTATTTTTTCAAGCTTCGCACGAGATCGCAACGAGATTCTTTAGTTCTCGTTCCGTACTAGAAGCAAAATTTTACTATACGTGTTTTGATGCATAACATTAGAAAATATATTTATCTCACTTTATTAGTAAAGAAACATACAGAAATATCATTTGTTAAAACGGGATGGACATAGGATTTCATTTGCGCAGTACTGAAACGTCACGAACGAGAACTGAAAGATCTCGTTCCGCGTCGAACGTGTTAAAATGCATATAGACTATTCTTCTGTAGAAGAACTCTTAAGGGGAAATATAACCTCAAATGGCTTAGCAAGATCCTCCGTTATGCCGAAAATATTGCAGCATTATATTTGAAATAAATATATGGTAAAGTTGAGGATTAGGTAATGTTAAGGACTATGTTAGACGAAAACACGATTCCGTAAAATTTTCTCGATAGAAAAAAAATCCAAAGTTACCTCCAAAATAAACAATAAACCGCTGTTATTCATAAAATACTTTAAATAAGATCATGAAACTTTGCATACTAACTGAACTAACTATAAAGCAGTGCTTATGTTATTTACTTTTTTTAAAATACCATTATTTTCACTGTAAAAAGAAATTACCTAAACTATCGGCTTCTTGAAGCTTGATTCCTGATCCTGCCGCCCGGTCAGTTTCACTTCGGCCTTTGAAGGGGGAGGAGTTTGTGTCGCTTACGATCAGAATACACATTACGCAAGAGGACGACGTAAAATTAAAATGGGAAATAACCGTAATAAAAATAAGAAGCGACTAGGTTGGCGTTAAGAAACAGGCATACATACATACATACATAAACACTCACGCCTGTCACCCAGAGGGGTAGGCAAAGACTACAGACTTCCATTTGGCACGATCCTGACATACCTCTCTCGCCTCCTTCACATCCATACACCTACGCATACATGCTCGTCGGTTAAGGGTACTCCTAATTTGGCCCGTTTTCAATAAATCGCCAATTTGGTCGATAAATTTTCGCCTAGGACGTCTCTTTCCGACTCTGCTATTCACTTCTGCAACATAAATTTTCTTTGTAACTCTTTCCTCACTCATTCTTTCCACATGACCAAACCACCGAAGCATTCCTTTCTTAATCCTGGTCACAACATCATCTTGCAAACCACACTCTTCTCTTATTACACAATTTCTTACTCTGTCGTTCAGATTCAGCCCTAACATACTCCTTAAGGACCGCATTTCTACTGCGGTGATTCTACCTCGTGCTTCCTCTGTCACACCCAACTTACACTACCATACGTTAAAGTAGGGACCAACACAGCTTTGTGAATTGCCACACGTGCCTTTTTTGACACATTTTGACTATTCACAATAGAGTGCAGGGCCCCATTTACTCTATTTCCCGCATTCACTCGTCGTTCTATATCCTTATCATATCTCCCATCCCTGCTAAATACGCAGCCCAAATATACAAACTCATCTCCTTGCTCGATCAACTCCCATTCTATTCTTATTTCACAAAAGAAAGTAAAACAAACTTTCTTCTCTTTCAAAAACCATAACCTTCGTCTTACTTGCGTTCACTTTCATACCCCTTTCTTTTAATGATCTGTTCATTAATGTAACCATCATTTGCAACTCGACCGCCGACGACGCAAGGATAACTTGATCATCGGCGTACAAAAGGCATTTGACGGTTAACTCACCCATTCTTAATCCGCATTCTTCAACTTTCAAATTTTGCACACAACTAACTTAAATAGGTTGTTGACATAAATAGGTTGAACAGCCACGGGGAAGCCCCACAGCCCTGTCTGACACCTTTATGGATGTCAAACCAGTCCGAGTAGACCCCGTTGATCCTAACACAAGCACTAGAGTCCCTATAAAGAGACTCCAATGCCTGTATCAAGCAAGCGCTCAACCCAAATGAGTTCAGTGTTTGCCATAGCACATCCCTATCCACTCTGTCATAGGCCTTTTCCAAGTCCATGAACGCACAAAAAACTTTTTGGTTTTTGGCCAAAAACTTCTCCGCGATCATGCGCATGGAAAAGACTTGATCTGTACATCCCATTCCCTTTCCGAATCCCGCTTGCACATCCCAAATTTTTCCATCAGTTTCTTTCAAGTACCTTAGTATACAGTTTTCCCACAATGCTAAGAAGGCTGATGCCACGGTAGTTTTTACAGTCCTGCTGCGACCCTTTTCCTTTATATACTGGGACTATCACGGCTTTGCACCAGTCTACCGGTACCCGCTTCAGTTCCCAGCATAAATTAAACAAGGTGTGCAGCAGGCCTGCCACGACTTCCTCTCCAGCCCTTAGCATTTCGGGTGAAACTCTATCATATCCGGCAGCCTTACCTGTTTTCATGCTTTTCATTGCTTTCATTATTTCATCTATACTTATCTCGCTACCTCTTTCCTCTTCTTTCGGAGTTTCTACTTCAGTTAGTACACACGTTGTCTCCTCACTCATAAACACGCTTTCAAAATATTCCTTCCATCTCTTTAAACTCAAAACTTCATCTTTCAGAATATAGCCATTCTCGTCTCTTATAACATTCATCATAGGCTGTTTTGAATGTCCCCTGGCAGTTCTTACAAGTTTCCAGAACATTTTAAAATTTGCCTGGAAGTTATCCGATAATCTTCTATCATTCTTATCCGTTCTTTATTGCTTTTTTCTTTCAACTACTTCTTTTACTCTCTTATTAAGATGTTTAAAGACTGCCTTTTTTCTTTCAATATCATCATTCGTACCGCTAGAATTACCAGCCTTTGTTGCTAGTAAATCTAGCCATGCTCTCTTCTTTGCTTCAACTTCCATACGTATCTCATCATCCCACCATAACGTATTATTTTTCCTTTCATTCTTCCTCTTACTAACAGCACATACTTCGGTAGCTGCATCCACTAAACCTTTCTTTACATTTTGCCATACATTCTCCAAGTCTAACTCCTTCATACATAATTCATCCAAACCACTTATATTTTCTTTCAGTCTACATTAGAACTTGTTTCTCTCGCCTTCATCTTGTAAACTTTCTGTTCTAATACGCTGTAACGCAGTGGTAGACACAGATGATCGATGGCGCCAACGCCTGAATAGACCATTAATTCGGCATAAAACCAAATAATGATCCGTTCCTACGTTAGAACCCCGGTAAACCCTTGTATCTACCACTGCGCCCCTCAATCTTTCATCCACAATTATAAAATCTATCATGCTTCTATCGTCACCTCTTTCCCAAGTATACATGTGAATCCTCTTGTGGCGAAAGCAAGTGTTCGTCAAAAAAGATTCTTTTCCATACATACGGTGAGGAGACTTTCACCATTCTCATTTACACTTTCATCACCAAACGTTCCCATATCCTTTCATAACCAAGCCTCCTCACCCCAACCCTTCCATTAAAATCTCCTAGCATAATAATATTTTCATTTCCCTTACACTTCATTAACACCATCCTTACCATTTCCCAAAACTGCTCTCGGATATAAGTGGGCTTAGACATGTCTGGGGCGTAGACCCCTAACACAAACAACTTCTTTAAGCCCACTTTCATTCGTATCCATAGCAGTCTTGGGCTTACACATTCATACTCTTTCACACATTGGCCCATTCTTTCTGAAAGGATGATACCTACCCCCTGGCATGCCCGCTCGATCTCGTCTACACCAGACCAGTATGCGGTATACATGCCATGTGTAGTGACATCCTTCCCCTTCCTTTTCGTCTCATTTACACATAACACATCTATTCCTCTATCATACATCATGTCGCATACTTCATCCATTTTATCATTCATTGCCCCAAATACATTCAACGTAGCCAGACGGGCCTCTGCAATCCACTTTTCGCCTCTCCGGGAGACAGAACGTGACGGGTGGCGAACCTCGTCGCCGGTTTTCCTCCCGGAGATTCTTCGCACCCCTGCCCCATTAAAGGGGCGCCGGGAACTCGGGGCCATTTCTTTTATATAGTTCCTCATGGTGCGAAAATATTGGGTAGTATGTTTTACGCCGCTACCACGGCGTGGAGCCGAGTCTGTGGTATCGGCTTGTCGCTCATTTAGCACCACCCGGGGGAGACGTGTAGGGTGGGCCTAGGAATAGGTGGTCATAGCCTACGGACGCGAGCGACTTATCCCCCGGCAACATAAAAAACAGGCATAAATATGATTAACCTAATGAAATAAGTATCTAACGACCTATCTACTTACAGTATCAGTGATTACAAACATGTCGGTACATAGCATACGACGCGCGGGGAAGTGGGGGCGAAATTAGAATTTGAGCTGACTTACTATATCCTCTTAAGATGCTAGACACCTATTAACAGAGTGGGCTATATCAATACATACAGAAATAACTTACCTAGAGTTGTCCTGTAATCATCATTCTGGTCCTGTAAGGCTTCCTAGGGATGCCAAAAAGCACGGTCCTGCGCCACCTACATCCATCGACTTCCTGCGTGTCTTACCGGGTCTTTACTCCATCTAGTGAGTGGTCGCCCTACACTTCGCCTACCGGCAAGAGATTGTCACTCGAGAACCTTTTTGCCCCATTGGTTGTCGGTTCAAGGAGCTATACGGCCGGGCCACTTGAGTATATTGTCGTAATAACGATGGCGTCACACCACTATCTCGAGAATTCAAAAAACCGCTTCGAAGCTCTCGTAGTAATAACTCCGGTGTTACTGCATGTATTAACGTGAAACAAAAACTAGTGTGATGTACGTAAAATAAGCTTTTATAATAGATATATTTCAATATCAACTTTTTTGTCGTTTGTCAGGCTCATCAAAGATGCAGGTTACAAGAACGACGTCCTTGTTCTTTTTTCTTTTTTTACCTTTATAGGAGAGGTGGCAAACGAGCATACGACTCACATGATGGTAAGTGAATACCGCCGCCCATGACACCAGGGGAACACCAGGGGAATTGTAGATGCGTTGCTTGCCTTTTAAAAAGGATTAGGCTCTTTTCTTGAAGGTCCCTAAGTATCGATCTGTAAAAATCTCCGGTCGAGTCGAGTCGAGACGATCCCACAAGAAAGTTGTACGACGAAGAAAACTTCTTTTAAAATCGCGCAGTGGTGGACCGCCAGTCATCCGGATGGTATGGATTAGAGATGGGCCGAATATGGATTTCACCGAATACGATTATTCGGCCGAAAGTTTGGTAAAACTTTTACCGAACCGAATATTCGGCCGAGCATTACGAACATTATTCGGCAGAATCACTTCGGTACCTAACTAATTTATGTCGAAACTTTCTAGCTTAAATCGCGTGGGATTAGCGCTGAATTAGCGCCTGACCCCCTCGCTCATTATCTAGTACTAAGAAAATTGCCGGTACTTGCTTATATTTTGACCATTTTTGTGAGAAAAAAAGTATTTTATTGTGTTGTTCTTAGTACGCACGCGCGCACTGCCGCTTGTCGCCATTTGTAAGCGTCAGCGGCTAGCGGGTAAATATTGGTGTATGGTCTAAAGTAATTAATATTTTATTTTACTACAACGTTATAATTTAGATTTATTAAAGTTTTTTTTAAGTTATCAAAATGTCAGTTGCACGCACAAATACTAAAAACAGTTCTAAATCTATTTCTCCCACACACTATGGATCCGATTCAGCTATTTATACCCTCGAGAGCCATGAACATAATATAGATGTTAATATTAAATAAAGATCGAAACGCCGGTTAAATAACCCACCCAGCACTTCCGATTTAACATTAGCAGACCTAATGGTAAGGTTGGATGAAATGAATAAATTTCAAGATGCTAAGTTCGCTTCTTTGGAGTCATCCATGAACGCCTTATCAAAGCAAAATGATGAAATCAAGGACACAGTTATACATTTGTCCGCTAAATATGATGATGTTTTAAATAACTTAAAAAAACTTCAACAAGAAAATGACTTTTTTAAAAACCGCATTAAAACTCTAGAAGGGAAGCTTGAACAATTTGAAAAAAATGCGCGATCAACCACAGTTGAAATAAGAAATGTTCCGATATCTGAATCCAAAGGCAAGGAAAATTTGATTGAATTTACAAAAAAGTTCGGCACAGTAATAAACGTTCCGATTCAGGATTCGAAAATCCGTGATGTGTTCCGGATGAAGCTGGAAAACAAACCAAACGGTCCTATCATCGTCGATTTCACATCAACTGTTAAAAGAGAAAAGGTTATTAAAGCTACGAGAACCTACAACAAAATGAACACCGGGCAACGTTTAAGCACTGCGTCTCAATATGGATGGTGCCGCAAAGCCTATATATGTGTCAGAACACCTCACTGCATCAACCAGACGCCTATTTTACCTTGCTAGAATGTTTGCCAAAAACACAACTACGAAAACTTTTGGACATCGTTTGGCAAAGTATATCTGAAACGTAACCAAAATGAATCTCGCATACACGTGAGCTGCCAAGATATTTTGAACCTTCAAAAAATATCTGACTAGGCAATATATGCTTTATAGAATTACTTAGCTTTTGCTTAGTTGTATGCATAGTATATTTCTGCCTTTATTTAAAAATATTAAAAGTTCTTTTTATGTTAGTAAGCCTCATATACACGATCGTATTTTTACGCGCTCCAGTCAACGATACACTAGCGCCATCTAGTGTCAGGAACGAGAGCGAGGGGAGCATTGAGAAAATGACATCACAAATTACTCAACCGACAGCGCCTAGTCGAAACTCGAACGCTCGGTACCTTCCGCGTGTTTACTTGAACATTCTGGATATTTCTTTGCTAATTAAATATATAGGCGCTGCAAGATGCGATGGGGGCAGTGTTGATTTGGGCGAAACAAGCGAAGCTTCGGAGTGGAATTAAGTGAATTAGTGTGTTTAAATTATTAGTGTTTTAACTTAAATTGTGTAAAGTAAATTAAAGTGTTAATTTAGGTAATTTTATCGGCAATTTTTATTGTCACGAACCTCAAGCTCGTAACAATTGGTGTCAGAAGTGGGATAAAATAATGCCGATTTTACCTAAGGAGGAAACGGAGGGTGTCCGTACCCGAAGTCAACGCCAACAGGAGACGGACCAGAGGAGATTTGGTGGTGCAACGCCGCAGATGTCTGAGGGCCAGCCGCCGGCCACGGAAGCCGGTCCGTCAGCAGCTTCTACGTCTGTGGCACCTGACTTAGGTGCTCTGATGGTGATGCTGCAGCAGCTGCGGGGCGGACAGGAGGAACAGGCCCGTCAGTTGAAAGAGCAGCAGGAGGAACAGGCCCGCCGACACGAGGAACAGGCCCGCCGATAGGAGGAACAGATGCTCCTCATGAAGGACCTTCACGCTACCTTCGGAAAGGAGATAAAGGAGGTGAAGGATAGGGTTGCTCACCATGACAACCGCCTGTCGGAAGCTGAAAACCGAATAGAGAAAGCTGAAACCCGAATCGACCAAGTAAACAATCGGGTTGACAACGTAATGGCTGACATGAAGAAATCACTGGACGAACTCAAACTTGGAGATGGAGCTACAGCTCCCGTAGTAGCTACAACACCTTCGCTACGTGGGTTCAAGGTGCCACCGTTCGACGGTACCTCTTCCTGGTCAGCCTACAAAATCCAGTTCGAGGCTGTTATGAAGGCGAACGGCTGGAATAAAAGTCAGGCCATGACTGCTCTCACACTAGGCCTGCGCGACCAGGCCCTAACAGTTCTGGAAGCTCTCGGCGAGGAAGTGACTTATGAGCAACTCCTTGAGGCATTGGAGGCGAGGTATGGCGACGCTCACCTGGAACACGTCTTTCGTGCGCAGCTTAAAGATCGCGTGCAGCGCATCAACGAAAACCTGCAGCAGTGGGCTCTAGAGGTGGAGAAGCTGGTGCGAAAAGCATACCGGTCTGTACCTGCGCTCATTGAAGGGAACCTGGTGCAGACATTCATCAACGGCATCCGCGACCTGGAAGTCAGAGCTGCTGTGAGGCTCGGGCACCACGAGACGCTTAAGAACGCCTTGGCCCATGCACTGGAAGTGGAAGCCGTGCGGCAGGATCATCGTTCCCATCGCGTCAGGGAGGTTGCGGCAGCTACAGTTCGCGACCGCAACAAAGGATACAGCCCTAGGTGCTATGGCTGTGGGGAAAAAGGCCATCTTCGAATCAGCTGCCCTAAGCGAACCGTGGAAAGGAGAGTTGATCGATCACGAGAGGGTAGTGCAGCTAACGACACTGCCTGGCGGCGACAGGATCATCGTTCACCTCACGCTAGGGAGGTTACAGCAGTTACGGTTCGCGACCACAATAAAAGATACAGCCCTAGGTGCTATGGCTGTGGGGAAAGGGGCCATCTTCGGTCCAGCTACCCTGAGCACACCCTACGAAGGGAAGGTGAACGGTCTCAGAAAGGAAGTGCGGCTAACAGCACCGCCCAGCAGCAGCAGGAATACGACTTTACTATCAGACACTGCAGCGGGAAATCTCACGGCAACGCAGATGCATTGTCAAGAAGACCTTGTCCTGAAGATTGCAACCATTGTAGTAGGCAAGAGAGTAAGGAGGTGGTATCCGTGAGGATGCTCAGGACAGACCACCTCAGCAACGGGTGGAAGGACAACCTACGACATGCACAGTAGGAAGATCCGGACATCAAGCCGATTCTGGGATGGATGAAGGCCCGTGCTACCAAGCCTAAGTGGAGGGACGTCTCAGCGATGAGTTCAACCACGAAAAGCTATTGGGCCCAATGGGACAGCTTGCTGATTCAGGATGGTGTCCTGTGCCGTAAATGGGACAATGGTCGAAGAGACAGCTGTCGTTTGCAAATGGTTGTCCCTAAAGCTAAAGTGTCGAATGTTCTACAGTTGTGCCATAATGGTCGTTCAAGAGTCCATCTGGGAGTTAAACGAACTCTACTGAAGGTCCGAGAACAGTTTTACTGGGTCCATTATCGTGACGATGTCGAGGATTGGTGTCGTACATGTACAAGTTGTGCGGCCCTGCGGGGACCTCGGACACGTAGTAGAGGAGCACCGAAATTGTACAATGTTGGTGCACCACGGGATAGGACAGCCCTTGACATTGCGGAGCCGTTACAGAAAGGCGCAAGAGGGACTCCTAAGATCGTCCATGTGAATCGCTTGGCGCGTTATTATGGGGCCGATAATGCTCGGGACGAGCATGTCTTAGGAGGGGGCAGTGTTACGCGCTCCAGTCAACGATACACTAGCGCCATCTAGTGTCAGGAACGAGAGCGAGGGGAGCATTGAGAAAATGACATCACAAATTACTCAACCGACAGCGCCTAGTCGAAACTCGAACGCTCGGTACCTTCCGCGTGTTTACTTGAACATTCTGGATATTTCTTTGCTAATTAAATATATAGGCGCTGCAAGATGCGATGGGGGCAGTGTTGATTTGGGCGAAACAAGCGAAGCTTCGGAGTGGAATTAAGTGAATTAATGTGTTTAAATTATTAGTGTTTTAACTTAAAATTGTGTAAAGTAAATTAAAGTGTTAATTTAGGTAATTTTATCGGCAATTTTTATTGTCACGAACCTCAAGCTCGTAACAGTATTTTTAACACATACAAAACAAACAAATTTATTCATACACTTATTTTTACAACTTTCAAAATACATTACACATTATTTGTTAAAAATACGAAATATATATTTCTTTTATGTCTTACCTAGCTCAAAAATAGTATCTGCTTCGTTTTAATGATGCTTATTGTGATTAATTGCTGTAGTTTAGTAGTTTTTGTATTTACTATAAAATTCGATTCCATAGCTCACTTGCCTCGTGAATATTATCCTTCTAATAGCTCTGTCCGTAAAAGTCAGTGAATTAATTACAATTCAAAACGAAATCGACTCTTATAATGTAGCAGATTCCAATATATGTGATGCTGAAGATTGCGTGTCTTTTTTACCTTATTCGAATAAAACTATTAAAGTTTATCAATGAAAACATCTGTAGTTTAAAATGTAATTTTTCTGGGTTACTACCGATCCTTGTTCGAATAAAAGTGGACTGGGACTGCATTGTGCTTACTTAATGCTGGCTATCATCTATTCATTGCATACCTCCTTTGGATGGATACAATAACTTTGCTTCTACTAACAATCTCACTCAAAATGAGGGTGTGGTTTTGTATTATAAAAAAGATTTAGTTATCTCAGTAGATGAGCCTATAATATCTGACGCCAATTGTCTTGTAATTACTATAAATAAAGATACGGTAGCTATTGCTGTTTATCGACCTCCCGGATACAAGAATATTAATATTTTCTTCAATCCCTTAATATTATATTACTTAAATATTCAAATAAGCAAAATGTCATATTATTAGGTGATATTAATATTAACATAGCTAAGTGAAGCAGAGATGCAAATCTTCCTATATACTTAGATATGATGGCATTTCACGGAATGTTGCCTGCGTACTTCTTTCCCACGCATAATAAAACATGCTTGGATCATGTAATATTAAAGACAAAATTGAAAGCTCGTTGTCTCATCCTACAAACAACTCTAAGTTATCATTATAGTGTTGCCTTATACATTGCTTCTTCTTCTAAACAAAAACCTGCAAAAGTATTAAAATACTTAAATTTCGAACTTTTAAACACAGTACTAAAAAATAAGGATTTCAATTCTTTGTACGAGATCAAAGATGTTAACGAGCCTGCTGTTTTTTCCACAACATACTTCAATCGGCTATTAAATCAAACTCAAGAGAAGTCAAAATTTCTAGACGTAAGAAAATCTTGAAACCTTGGATAACCCCAGGTGTTTTAAAATGTTTGAAAAATCGAGATAACCTAAATAAGAAACTAAAAAAAGACCCAGATAATGAGACGCTTAAAACTACTTATAAGATATACAGAAATTATTGCTCGTCCCTATTAAAAAAACTTAAAAGAAACTATTAAAAACTTCAACTTCGAAATGCAGGAAAAGACAACAAAACCTTTGGAAAGCTCTTAAAGAGATTACTTATACTAATAAACCAAAAGAGATTCCGTTAGAACTAATAGATACAAATAATTCGCAAGCATCGGTGAATGGTATTAACTAATATTTTGCAAATGTTGGAAGAAACTTAGCTGAAGACCTGTATAAAAATAAGCCCCCAGTCCAACCCCATGTCTTAAATTCATACTGTCACTCTTTTACTCTTCTATTAACGGATGAGAATGAAGTAAGGAACCTAATAACAGGTCTAAAGAGCAATTGCACTGTTGTCCTGGATTTAATTTCCAGTGAGACCCTGAAAGCAAACAGGGATGTTCTAGCCCCTCCGATAGCGTAAATTTGCAACTTATCACTTTCAACTGGAGTATTCCCGAGGATATATAAGAAATCACGA